TATCCTTAGAACATCGCCATAACTCATCACAAAAATTTCAACAAAAATTTGAACATGGAACGTCATTTGATTAGCGGTTCTAACAAACAAGCAATTGGCGTACATGAAAACTTCCTAAATTGGGAATTTGTGAAAAATTATGAAACTGTTGCGGGCATATGCTGTATGCGTGTTTTAGGTCGAAAACACGTGTTTCCTGCTATATATTTCCCACAACAAAAATGGCGAACTCGATATATGAGTCCGGGTAATAAATGCAAGACCAACGACAAAACTACACACACACACACACATACACACACACACACACACACACACATACATTTATATATATATATATATATATATATATATATATATATATATATATATATATATGAACAAATGATAATGTAGGTATTAACAAAATAAGGGTATACATAGACAATAGAATATTGTTGCCTCTTACTAAACAATGAGCATGAAAGAAGAAAACATTTAAACAAATGAATTGTTTGTGTGTGTGTAGTTTGGTGTAGGCGAAAGTCATAGAGAAAATGAAGTGGAAGGTGTGTACGTACGCGCATGTGTGTGTGTGTGTGTGTGTGTGTGTGTGTGTGTGTGTGTGTGTGTGTGTGCATTCTCTAGTGGGGAAAGTGTTTTCTTCGTTCGACCTGCATCTTACACCACTGAGTGATAAAATCAAAAACAGAATGCCCGAGAAGGTTACTACCTATTTATAGGCCTAGAGATCATCCTCTAGCGACAGTTTTTTAGGGAAGTAAGTGGGGGTAACTCTACAAAAGTATCTGAACCCACGACATGGCTGAAGTCAGTGGAGGCACTAATGGAAATGGAGATCTGAGACTTGTTGACAATGACAGCCACAAGACAAAACATGAATAATAATAATAATTTATAATAGTAATCTATACCAATAAAATAAAGTCTGTCTCCTATAGACTCAGAAACTATTGGATAGATTACAACTAAATTGTCATGCATACAGGTTATGTTCTAGGGAATATCCTAAATCAAACCTCAGAGTCATAGAAGGTTAAGAATAAGGTCAAAGTAGCTATTTCTTTCAACCTGATTATTTGCCTTTAACTTCGTGGCATACCCGATGAGACAGTAACTGCCATAATGATACTATATAAAAAATACCAAATCTTTGGTGAAATCTCCGAACGGAGACACTACTTCTTCAACATCAAAGCAGAGGTCCTTCAGGGTGACACCCTTTCACCTTTTCTTTTTGTTCTCACCCTTGACTACGTATTGAGAACTTCCCTCGACAAACATCATTATCTCGGTTTTACTTTACAACCAATGCTCTCAAATCGATATTCTGCACAACTGTTAACAGATATTGACTATGCAAATGACCTCGCTATCATTACAGACACTATTACCAATCATATAGAGAATGCTGCTAACGATGTTAGACTTTATGTGAATGGATCTAAAACTGAATTTATAGGCACTGTTAGTATTTTTCCCGAGGAACATTTTATACCTCTGCTAGTTATGAATAACGGAAAAAACATCTGCCGGATAAAGAGGTTGCCGTTCCAGCTTGTAAGTGTAAGAAAGCGCACATTCTGCCCCCCCCCTTAAAATCTCTTCAGTTAGGGGAGATGCTGTTGGACACAAATAGAGAGCAGTGTCTAAATTCTGACTTCGGTTTGGGCTCAGATTAAGACTCTTGGGAAAATAAGTTCTTCTCTCGCACTTCCCAACAGTGGAACTCCCTTCCTCTTACTTGCTTCCCTGATAGCTACAATCTTCAAAAATTTAAATGCAACGTCAATCGTTATTTTCTGATGCCTTGATCTCTGTTTTTCTTTTTATCCTTTCCGAAATCCTCATTTACCCATTTTTTTTTCTTTTACTTTCACTCTTTGTAACCCGCTGCGTACTAGTGACACTCTCGCCTTGCTTGGGGGTGAAATGCTTTAAAAAAAATGCCTTTCCTTTTCCCCCTCTTAGCTGCGAGTTCAATGTCTCCAAAACAAAACTGCTCTATTAATCATTTGGGAGACCCCTTTTTGCCTTCCATTAGTATGGCTGATGCTAACCTCCAGGGAGAGTGACTCATTGCGCCTTCTCGGGTTAACATTTTCGTCCGACATGAAGCGGAAAGACTATATTGAATCCATTGCTAGGTTAGCTGCTAAGAAAATTGGTTCACTATATCGTCCGAGGCAATTTTTCCCTCCAGAATCTATCTTACATATCTATAAGTCTACCATTCGTCCATGCTTAAAATATTGCTGCCACATATAGTCCGGTACACCTGCTATATATTTAGAGATTCTTGATAAGATCTAAAGAGAAGTCAGCAATATTATTGGTCCTGACCTGGCATCTTGGCTTCAGTCACTTTCCCACTGCTGCAAAGTTGATTCCCTCTGCCTTTTCTATAAATATTTTCATAGTAATTGTTCGGATGATCTCTTCGCTAGGGTATTTAGACTTTATGAATTTAAGCGCAGTACAAGATTAGCAAATAAGTCATCAATTTATAGTTGAGCTGACTAGATGGAACCGTAAGTTCTATGCTAACAGTTTCTTTTCTCGCTTGTGAAACTTTCTTGCGGTCCATGCTTTCCAGACAACTTTGATCTTCAAAAAATTTAAATTCATTGTTAATCATTATCTACTGTTTTCCTGGTTACGTTTCTTCTGTTTTCGCTTCTTAGCAATGTTTCTAATTCTTCCACACCCAGTAACCCCTTGTGTCTAGTGGCTTTAATAACTTACTTGCGGTAAATTCGATTAAAAAAAACTTAGATTATCTAGCCTTGGTTGACAACTAATCTAGGAGAACAACATTTGTGAATTCAAAATTGTAGAGAAGGCTTCTGGGAATCACGAACAATTGAAAATAAAAAAAAAGAAAAGAGAAAAGGAATCTATGAAGAGCCATAATCGCCTACATCTTAAATAAACATGTTAGTCTTGAAAGAGATAACATTTTTGCTTGCGACAAACATTTAGTGTCAGCTTCTAATTGCGACGAAAATAATAATAATAATAATAATAATAAGAAGAAGAAGAAGAAGAAGAAGAAGAAGAAGAAGAAGATGTGGACGGTGCGGAAACTTGAGAGAGCCATTCTTAGCCAATTGTGGGAAAGCTTCGAATGTATCAAACAATAATACCAATCATTCAAAACAGCATTATTTTGACATTGTAAAATATATGCAAGGGAAATAACTCTTTATAGCTCGATTATCCCCCTTACAACATTTTCAGATGAGTTGTGAATTAGAATTAGCGTAAAGTGTAAATTGGCCAGAAAAACGGAACCAATGGAAAAATTCTGGGTGGGGGTTGCTTCTCTTCGTTTAGAATCTGCATCTCTCTAGTCCGGATCTTTAGATATCTTGAGAAACATTTCAACATTGGAGTAAAAAGCGGATGAGTGAACATTCGGACTCAGTCAAGTGTCACACGTGATTCACGCTCATCATGGGATCACGTCTATTCATGTATGAATATTTTCGATTCATGTTTAAAACAAAGAGAGTTTCTTTCTCATACAAGGGATATATACGTTTTGCATATTTTCAAAAATAGACGAAAAGAGATTTTTGAAATACTTAGCTTTCTTGGTTTGTTAAGAGAAAATCCTTTGAAGTGCTGCGTGTTTGGTTAAAGGCCGATAATATAATTGGCGAATAATTTTACAATTTGGCAAGAACATCAACACTGGACGCGGTGAACAGAAACGAAACTTTTCTCTGCAGCAGGGTACACTTTTGGATACACTGCTAACTCAGAATTATCGTACTATGTATCGCCTTAGACTTATAAAAAAAAAAAAAAAACCTGAGAAACGCATTTTAAATATTGGAAATGCCTTCTTTGGACTTGTAGTGAGTGCGAAATAATAATAATTTCCTTCACCCACTCCCTTCAAAACCTTGTTTTCACAGAAAGTAGCGTTTTCACAAAAAGAATCCGTTGAGCCAAGAAGAAGAAAAAAAGAAAGTAACGAACCTATATAAAATTCCTTTTGATATATAATAGGGAAAAAAAATTAAATTAATAAGAAAACAGTGTCTGAAGTCATGTGAAAAGGTTTCGTTTTTGTTCACCGTGTCCAGTGTTGAAGTTCTTGCCAAACTGTAAAATTATTCGCTAATTATTCTGTTCTTCCAAACTTCTGGTGTTTTTCGTCCGGATTCAGTCTTTTCTTCTTTTTCCTCTTCTGTGTTGGCATTTCATTTGTTTAGAGAAAAGTATATACAGTGCAATCTCGGTTCTCACATGAACAAATCGGTTATCGAACAGAAAATTCGAGCTGAAAATGCCTCGGTTATCGAAGAAAATTTCGGTTCCCGAACAACATTGCCGAACCGAGTTAACCCGAACGGAATAATTTCTGAGTCGACCGCCATGTTGTTTTACATTTGTGTATTGTGTTGTGTGTGTGTTTTTTTTTTTTTTTTTTTTTTTTTCCAATTTTATTGTACTGTGACTTTTTTCTTTACATTGATTCCTATTGGAAAAATAGTTTCGGGTTATGAATGACCTTCAGGAACGAATTATATTCGTCAACCGAGGTTCCACTGTATAGAGAGATTAAAAGAGAAAGGGATAAGGGCTTTAAAGGAAAGCGCTAATACATTAATTTAATTTGAATTCTTTTTGTTTTTATTTAGATATTTTATTGTTATGTTTTATTTTATTTTTATCGGGACTCACTGCAAGTTTTATTGAATTATTTTTGCTAAGATTTAGGCCGAATTTTCTGTATATTCTCATTTAATAATGCATAATTATTTATACTGAAATTTACAGAGATTTGTCTTTATATAAAAAATTGTATTTTGAAACCTGTATTTGACATAACAATACTAAGTATTTTTTCAAGTTAGCTTCTTTTTTTTTAAAGTTTTCAGCTGCGAAAGAATATTTTTTATTGAGGAAAATTTTTCAATTTTTGCTTATTACATTTCACGAGTTATAATGTAATTTATGTCTTCATATCTTATCTTTCAAAGGAGAAAATGACCTCAAATGAAAAGATGGATAATGAAGGTAGGTACAAAAATATTTGAAAATAATGATGATTAAATTAGCTTTTACTATCTCCACTGTTATAAAAATTCTTACTGGCTTTCTCTCATGTAAATGACGACGTCATCATCATCATCATCATCATCATCATCATCATCATCATCAACAACAACAACATCACAACACCAAAATAATAATAATAATAATAATAATAATAATAATAACAATTTATTAAAGACCACAAACAAAAAAGTGCCTCCTTATTGATGTGGCAGTCCCTGCTGACTGCAATGCATCTTTGAAGATATTCAAAAAGCTGTCAAAATACAAAGACCTTGAAATAGAATTCTCGAAAATGTGGCATATGGGAACATCAACAATCCCTGTTGTTGGTTGGAAAAGATTCCAGTAGACTAATTGAAGGGATTCCTGGAAGTCCATGCCTCAAGGAGATACAAAAATTGTTCTGACAAGTACAGCCCACACTTTACGAAGGGCTTTATCTATGTAATTTTTTTTTTGTCTGTGGAAAGTGTCATGATGCCATTTCTAAACTTAGGTCCCTGGGCGGTACCCGGAAATAAATGTGTAAACGCCAGAAATCAAAGAAAATAATAATAATAATAATAATAATAATAATAATAATAATAATAACTATCAAAATGCAAGAACCTTGTAATCGAAATCTCAAAAATATGGTGCATGAGGACATTAACAATTTCAATTGTAGTTGGAGCCCTCGGATAGACATGAAAAGATTCCGACATTGATGGAATCCCTGGTAGCCCATGACTAAAAGAAATACGAAAAATTGTTTTCACAAGTGTAGCTTACACCCTGCGAAGGGCTTTATCTGTGTAGAATATGTGCAATTTTTTTTTTTTTTTTTTTCGAAATTGCACAGTGGAAAATGTCATTTCTGACCTGAGGTCTCTGGTCGAGACCCGGAAAGAAATGAGTATACACCAGAAACGAAAGGAATAATAATAATAATAATAATAATAATAATAATAATAATAATAATAATAATAATAATAATGCTTACTAACTTACATGGAAACAACAAATGACTGGATGATAAAATTAGTGAAACAACATGAAAACAGAAAAAAAAATATTCAATAATAAAAGAAGGCAGTAAATACAAACAACATTTACATTTAGTAGATTCTGTAGTAAATCAAAACAGAAGCCAAGAACCAACTATTGCAGCAAAAGATATGAAAAAAAAAAGCCAAGGATAAAGCCCTTGAACAGATGAAACAACGCTGGCAAGACAAACCTCTGCATGGCCAATATCCAGAACGTGCAAATAAACCCAATGTTGATAAAGTTAATACTCATCGATGGTTACGAGCATCTGGATTAAAGTCTGAAACTGAAGGCTTTATTCTTGCAGCGCAAGACCAGAGTCTTTTCACTAGGAATTTTCAGGCAAATATCATACATAATAATGTGGATCCAAAATGCAGGTTCTGTGACAAATACCAAGAAACAATAGACCATCTAATCTCAGGATGTTCTATACTTGCCCCAAATGAATATAAAAATCGTCACGATAGAGTGGGGCAATACTTACACTGGACAATGTGCAAACACTTTGGAAAATGTGTAAGCAAACACTGGTATGAACATCGGCCAGCGCCGGTTACAGAAATAGAAGATGTCACCATTCTATGGGATTATACCATCCACACAGACAGAAAAATTGAAGCAAATAGGCCGGACATTATTGTCAAAAAACCAGAAAGAAAAAACTTGCCTACTAATTGATATGGCTTGTCCAGCGGATTTTAACATAGCAACCAAGGAATTTGAAAACTATCAAAATACAAAGACCTGGAAATTGAAATAGAAAAATGTGGAAATTGAAAACAAGAATAATACCAGTGGTAATAGGTGCACTTGGAATTATAAAAAATGGAACAAAACAACACATTGAAAGAATCCCTGGAAACCCCAGCTTAAGAGACATACAGAAAATTGTCTTATTAAGTACAGCACACACACTAAGGAGAACTTTGTCTATGTAACGCTAGCAACTTCATCGGAAAAAAAAAAAAAAAAAAATTAACATGAAATGTGGCCATAACAACACACCACGACCTGCCTTAGGTCTTTCCGCAGACTTGGTAGGTAGTGTGTCCATAGCAGAAATCGAATGATGATGATGATGACAATAATAATAATAATGATCTCATTTTAATGCGCATGCATACAAAACTGGTTACAAAACTGAAAAAAAAACTATTTTTATTTTTAATCGTGGTAATTTTGTTTTGCTACAAAAAAAAACGAAAAAACCTTGGATGACATTAATAGAGTTATTCCCCTTAGATTGTTTTTTTGAAAGTGGATTCTTAACGATTTGATTGAAATAAACAAGTTTTGCCTTGAAATATACGATACTTTAATTCATATATGAATTCCCCTTTCTTTATTCATTTCTTTTCGTAAAGTTATTTTGGTTTCTCTGTAAACGATATTCTATTTTGAATTTCTTTTGTAAACGATATTCTATTATTTTGAATTTCTTTTGTAAACGATATTCTATTGGATATTTCTGGGACAAAGATGAAATTAAATGGAATTTTATCGTCTTTAAAAAAATCTCTACTGCTAATTTCTGAATTTTTTGTTAACACGCTTCCTTGATTTCTGTAAACAAAATATATTTTAGGAAGACAGGCTTCGGTCTTTTTCATAATAACTTAGATCCACTAAGTAAAAATGGAGTCCATTGTTGATAAGGCATAAAAAACTGTACGACAATGATGAATGAATATAGAAACAGTTTTCTATTATAATTTTCTTGATTTATGATCGATTTTTATTGTAAACATTTTAATTCTATATTCTTGTTCCTATCTTCAAACGATAATATTTTTTTTCTATCTCTCTCTTCTTTCTTTTTTATTAGGCATTAAAAATAAAGGAAACTTATCCCATTTTACACTCGGTAACTGGGAAAAATTACCGACTGAAGCAGACAACAACAACAATGACGAATGTCTGTGGATTGAAGGTGAAAAAGAAGATGATAGCTGCCCAACCCTGAAAGAATTTGAACTCGACAATGGCCGAACTACCATGACAGTTATTTCGATGAAATCAAACAAGAAAGACGAAAAAGAATCATCAATAACATCACCAACATGCTATTCTGAACAGACTTTCCAGGAGACGGCGTTGATAAGTGAAAAACAATCAAAAATAATCTTTAATATTGATGAATCAAAACTCCATAAAAGAAAGCAAGACTCAAAGCCTCAATTTGAAATTTCACCGGAAAAGCCGCAACTTATGAAAATTGAAAGAGAAGTGAAGACTCTTACCAACAACAGCTTGGGTTCGAAATTAGTCAAAGACGATTGGATAAAAAAGATGACAAAAAGTAATTTAACGAAAAAAACTGAACCAAAAGAAACGAACTGTGTCCGGCAAATGACACAAGCTATTGAATCGAAACTCTTAAGAAACAATTCGTTTTCTAATACTGTCACAGATAAAATATCACAAAAAACGTTGACGCAAAGTGACGCTCCTCAAAGATGTAAGCCTAGAAGGAATAAAACATTTCCTCAAGCACAAATCCGACCACAGGTCTTTAAATTCCATTCGGAAAATTCCGAACAGACTCAGTTTACAAGCCATTTTGATACAATCCCGACAAGAACAAATTTTGATCATACAAACGAACAACTGTCAAATGTTTTCTCGGAAAGAAATAAAAATGAATCAAAGGATTGGAAAAAACAGTTCCCAATGAAAGAATTTATCATTAAAACGAAAGAAATGGGACGTGCTTCTGATCAAAATTTGAATATAATCGAAGTTGGAGAAAAATTCCCCGCTGTTGATGCTTCCATGTTAAAATCTTCACCAATTTCTTGGCCATGGAAAACTTCCGATGTAGAACTTTCCCAGACAGTGTTTAATGACGGTCACATCACTAGTTCAGAAAAATTTCCAAAATATTTGACAGAAAAGTGCAGCTATCGTCCTTTATCAAGAGTAGAAACAGGTTCCTCCACAAAAAAAGACACTGACGTTCCAGACGCGCCGGTCGTTAAGAAAACAACGGAAATCCGCGTTCATTTGTGTCCACCCAAAACTTCTGTTCGTTTAAAATCTCCGCCATCAGTGAATACAGTTGCACCCTTACATATTCTACCGCTTTCAAACGCCGGTGAAGTTTATTTGAAAAAGGAATGCTTTGGAAACGAGACTAGCCGTGAAATTAGTGATGAAGAAAATGGCCGCAAACATCGTATGTCTAAAGTTGATGATAACACATCTTGTTTGATTGCGGACACGATAGTTGGTTACGTCAGCAAGCATAACATTAGCGACAATAGAATTACACGTCTCGCTGCAAGGGAAGTGTCCATAAATCCATCAAGTAAGTGGTTTTCATCTAACATCATTTTAATTCATGAGGGGGAAAAAGAATTAGAAATAATGTTTAACCAATTAACAAAATTATTCCTAACAAAATTTCCTTAGAGGATGAAACACGTTGGTAAAGAAAAAGACTTCCTTTTGTCATTTATAGATGACTGATAGAAATTAGAAGGATTTGAGATAATTATAATTAAGTAACTCATCGAGTCTAGAAGAACCCTCAACAAAATGCAGAAAGCACTTGACGGCCGTTTCGTCCTATATTTGGGACTCATCAGAAGTGCGCATCCACTACCGAGAATCGAAACCCGGACGAAAGTTATCAGGCAAACCTCATTCCAACTGTTCCAACGGGCTTCGGTGTTGAAGGGGTAGCGAATCAGATTCAATATAGCGCTGCTCGATCACAAATTCCGTGGTGGAACTCATCCGAGTTTCTCTTTTACCCATAGGACTGTGCCTCCCCGAGCTACGGCTACTATCACCAAGCCGCTCTATCCAGATCATTAGAAGCCGATTCAAGCAAGGATATACAAATGATAGAAATTAGCAGTGCACATCCACATGGGGGTATTAGAGAAAAAACAAAAGTGTTGATGGACGCATCATACAACTTGCCAAAACATAAAACTCTACACAGATAACCAAATAAATATTTATTCAATATAATTTATGGTGCAAACAAAACTGTGCTCAATGTAGTTAAACAGAGCTATGAAGTATATATTAATAAATACACATCTACCTACGTTTGTAGTGCAACTTAAAGTTGCATGGTTTCCCAAATCGTCAGGAACATATGGCGATTGAACGGCTTATTACAGTTGTTTTTTTTTGTTTTTTTTTTAATACTGGGTCTCATGGTAGGAACGCTAGATTATACTCAGATTCAAAGCTCAAAGTTAATATAAACCTAATATATTATTTGGATGTAAATTCAAAAGCGTGTATGGAGAGAGAGATTGGGAAAAACAAAGCAAAAAAAAAGTGATGCCAGCTTAAAGATTATATGGTACATGTTTTTTTTTTCCGTTGTGAAAAAAAGGGTAACATTTAAGGTATGAAAGTATAAAGCCGAAAGCGTAAGAAGCAAGCAATATGAATAACAAGGAAGGGGGACAGGCGCTGTGGATTGTATATTGTTTATAAATATTCTCTATGTTTCAAGAGAGTAACACTGCACAGTATATAAAGTTAACGTTTAATAATATTAGGAGATAAATTTAAAAAATAAAAAGTGTAGATAGACAGAGAAGGTAAAAGGTGAGAAACAAAGTATATTTAAAGAAAAGAGGAGCGCCGTGTAACCAATTCAAACGTCGGTATATGTGAATTTATTAATATATATATATATATATATATATATATATATATATATATATGAAAATATATAGAAAATAGGAAAAGAACACGTTAGGTAAATAATCCGAAGTTCTTTAGTATTTTTGTTTTTAAAAA